ATGTGTAAGATGTAACGGGGTTTCTCGAGTTTAGTTGAGGCCCGTCGCGACCTGCAACAGAGTCAAATACTGAAGATTAGAGCCTTCGAAAAGCAACTGAATTCCCTTCCTGCCCCTCAGGCTCGTGCAAAGCGTTTCCCTGGCCGCCGGTGACCAGCGCATGCCATTAGTTGTAGCATACCGTGGTGCGGCTCCTGCTGCAAGGTAACTGCGCATGCAACCGTAGTCCAGCCTCTTCTACGGCAGGCGCTAACACTGTATACAAGGGACAGTGCAGGAAACTGTTGAGCAATTCCTTGGATTTCAGTAGCCAACCAGCAGACAAGTAGAAGTACATCTAGCTCGCAGGCGGAGCATGTTTGAGACGCTGAGATGAGCTGTTCTTAAAGCCCGAAAATAGCACGAAGGTTCTACTTAGCAAGGACAACCCCACTGCCACACCGCTATAGATCCGATTGCTATACAGAGCAAGCAATTCCCCCCGTGTTTAGTCTTGCATATCCACGGCGAAGTAGAGAGGATCCGGTTTACGGAACCTTCCAGATCGTTTTTTTTTTTTTTTTTTTCTGTGNTTTTTTTTTTTTTTTTTCTGTGAATTCACGCTTGAAAAGCAGTGGGATGTTAGCTCGTTACTCCCGCACCCCCACGAGAGACCCGCATAGGCCAACCATTTTCACGATGGTGGATATTCGGAAGATCCGCGTTTAGCTGCCCACAGCAACGACTTCAGGTTTGGGTAATAGAAGTGCCCACGGTTAGGATACATGCCGTGGACGTGGGCGCATCACGGCAAACCCAATCCAAAGCAACTCAAGTACCACGAAAACAAAATCGAAGATCACCCAAGAGTACTTTGCCATGTATATGATGACCAGTCTATGCCTATCACTCATCAAACTCGTCCAGCAGTTTCTGATCTCTGCGAGAGATCAATCCTCATCAGAATTTAGTGGGCCGCAGATATGACCGCGTGCTTCCTTTGGCAGAAAGTGAATATAAAATGCAGATGAGGGGTCGCAATGAGGCATCCCGAAGAATATACGAGTACCCTGGAGATTCAGGCCATGAGCCATGAAGAAGGGGGAAATTAATATTGCCGAGGAAAACCAGCACCCGTTCAGCGAAGGGGTAAATTCCACTAAAAATGCATACTTCAAATGCCCAGTTTGTCTATTAGCGAATATGGTCTCCTCGCTAGGCATCCACCAGCAGTTGGCGACTTTCTTCTTTGTTAGCTTGCCAACCACGTTTATTGTGAAGTTTGGCAAAAGTGGCAGTTACGCAGGTGCATCTGCGGGGTGGGAACGGGATCGGAGACGAGATGCACATCACTGGCTTTCCTTCGACATCTTAAGGAACCTAGTGTAAGCTGAAAGTGAAATTTTTACGTACCTAGGTTTTTGATGTCAGGGCACAGAGCATAGGCCTTACGGAGTTGACAACCGCATCTTTCCCTGTCGACCTAAGTGCAAATTATGGCATCGTTTTGTGACTAATGAACGGAGACTATGGACTCGAAACATATTTGAACGTCGAATGGAAAGCTGAGCAGGCGTCTGGCGCCACTGTTGGCGCAACTAAAATCGGCTTAAGCAAAACTCTAGCTACACACAACACTTCGGCATGCGGATTGCGACTATATGGTTGTTTAGAAATGATGTAAGAGTACTGTGTCCCGATTCAGTAAGATGTGAAACTCGTAGAGAATATCTCGCGCCACATAGAATATTATGTCAAGGCAAGTACTATAAAACGGAGAGTTCTCCCCCAAACAGCTACGCGCGAGAAGCGGAGACGTGGGAATTTTCCACTGATTTTCCACTGCATATACTGGCGAGGACGTTGGTACGACATTGCGCCGAAAGGGATGAACATACTAAGCAATAACATCGGCGTATCCTTCACCTTGTTCGTTGTTTCGCTGCCACAATCTCAAGTAGGCGGCTGCGGAGACCAGGGCCCTTATTACACAGGACCACAGGGTTGCTGCAGATTATATGTTGCTTCTCAAAAAGTCTAGGGCTTCTCCTGTTCCGATTGCGGTGGTGGCAGGTTGAGTTTCATTGAGAGGGTAAGTTGCTCTGCCGCACAAGAGAGCTCATCAAGTTCCTGCTCTGCTAGACTCCTTCTCTTTAGGGGCACTTCGGGCGCACTTTGCATGGCCAGCTCTGGAGACGACAGGGCAGAGTGTGGGTTTGAAGAAACTAAACTAGGAGAAGGTGCATCACTGTGTGAAGATGGAGAGAGCCGATGCGGATGCAAACGCTCCTTTACACGCGGCGAGCCGGCCGTGTCAGCTGTGTGGGCAGGCGAGGAGGTGCGGTTGTCTTGGGAGTTCGCCGTCGCCCCCTGAGGAACCTGCAAGAACTGGCTAGACGACGAAGCCTCGGGGGGCGCATGCAGTGAACCCATAAAGTCTGAATGCTGCTGCTGATTCGCAGTTAGAACCATTCTCATGCTCAAAAGCTCCCTCATGTATTCTAACTCCTCCCGCCACGTGTCGATTCTGAACAGCGTAGAAGAGCAGAACGCGCATACGAAGAAATAGGCGCAAACCGCCCACAAGCTCTCGACCAAATACCCAGGAAGGCTTGGAAAAGCGAATGGAACGTCGCAGGAAGAGGACGTTGATCCGCGCGCGCACACGTATTAGACTTAGACTGTGCAAGCACTGTGATGCTGTAGAAGATAGTTCGGGCAGCTGGCCTTACCGATATTGCAGTCTGATGTTGCTGACATTTGTTCTCCTCATGTCATTTCCCTTGCATCCGGGTAGCCAGTAGGTGTCTCCGAGCCAGTGTCTCTTAAACTCGTCCTCGAATCCGCTAAGAACACAAAAACGTATGCTGCAGCAAATGATGGTTAACCGTGCGGGGAAGTGGCGACATGCGAGCCTAGATATGAGACTTTGCTAGATTTGCAAGGAGAGAATGAAGCATCGAGATCCTAACAAATCGGTGAAAGGAATTGCAAGCCGAATACAACGTAAGCAGCGAGACACTAAATCACGTATAAAGTCAGGATGACGAAGAATGACTCAGTCGTCTAGCAATGCTCAAGCAGGAGAGGGTAGTTCGGGGTGTGGAAAAGCATATACGGAATTGCTGCAAAAATATCTACACATCTGACTCCTCATTTGGGGAGTACGTGACACAGAAGAGGTCGCGCTTCTGGCAAAGCCTCAATCCACCACCCTACATTCGTGGAAGGCGATGGTTCTTTGTACTCCAAATATTCGTTGTCTGTGTGTTGACACGCTCTTCACCGGTCTATACCGCGGTGCTTTTGGTTTATCCACCTCTATTCTGCTATCACTGTTTCACTTCTGCCTGACAACGCCCTCCTATGCAACCACATTTCCCTCCATTGGTGTGAGTCTCTGTGTAAGCTGGTATTCCCCCATTCATACAGGCGTCGCTAGATTCGTCTGGGCTTCTCTCAGCCTGTGCCTTTGCCTTTCTACATATTCGTCAGCTTCCCAGCTTATCTCTGCGCCTGCGCAACTATACGCAACTGCGAATACCTGCGTGTACTGCTCCTACTCTGAATTCCGCATATTTTTGTGCCCCTAGTTTGTTTTCATCTTAGCGTATCTGTTTGCGCCCGCCATAGTACTATTTACTCTTTCTGTCGGCCTCTGTTGTTTCAAGTGCCACCCGCTTCTATGAGCACCTCAAGCCTTTTAATTGCGGGCTTCCGCTCTGAACAATCACTACTACGATCCGTTGGTATGACGCTCCAATGAAAGGTTGCTGCTACTCCACCTAATGTGTCCGTAGTAGAGCAAATTATGGAAACGAAGCAATACAATATGCCTATAAAGATAAAAGCTTGCCTTTGCAGTACGGAGTTCCTCGCCAGCTCACAAAGATCAACAGGAGATAATTTCCACACGTGCTGCAGAGACAATCAGAGGGATACAGAAAGGAACAGTTTTGTTGTTTCAACTTCCCTCAGCATGTAACGTCCTACGCGTTTACTGTGATGAACACCGGGAAACTGTTCTGTTCGAGATATGAGTTTGTCTTAAATACAAGGACGCATATACATGCATAGCTTGTGTACGCTCATCCAGGCATGAGCTCACAAAATGGACACGGGGGTTTTGCCAACCACAAAATGGTACATCTACATCTCAGAACGCATTCCTGGTTTGAAGTGAATTAGTTTATAATTGTCATTCCTTCAATGTATGCCACGTTTATTGTTTTATCTGGGCACTGTCAGTTATGCATTATTTGGGCTGCGCAAGGGCATATGAAATTACGTCGAATTTAGCTGCCAACTAGCTTCAGCAGCGAAACGTTCAAGTCATACTTACCGCTGCGATCGAATATTCTTCTAGGAGGGGTTCGTCGGTAAAATGAAACATCAACGGGTCGTCAGTAGACAANGACACATTTAATCCTATCTTGAAAAAAGAATACAGGGGGTTCTTTGCTGCAGGCAAGAAGATAACCAGCAGGAACTAAGAAGGTGGAAGTATGGGTTTGGATCTGTTAGCTGAAGGAGTGGAACGCCCGGGCTGCCCAGAGCAGCCTTCCTACCTAGTGGGCTTCGGGGTTCAGGGTCTCTACTTTCGATTCGCGAGTGGAACAATACGCCAGCATATGGGAAGCGAGAAAAGCAGACGACCACGCGAAATACAGTAGAAGGCAAACCGGTGACGAACGTACTTATGTCCATGAACAAGGCGTTGTTCGAAAGTGGAGACACCGCAATGCCGATTTGTTTGAGGTAAAACATATATTCCAACACTGGGGCCCCCTTCAGCAAAATTCCGTGGTTTATTCCATCGGCTAGGAGGAATGCTGCTGCTAAGTGACTTGTGCTCCCCGCCTCTCCGCAGTGAGGCCTAAGAGAAGAAGCAGATGAGAAGCTACTAGATTAAGACCCTAGACCATCAGCCCATAACGTCCGTCTCCAAGCAACTCGCACACAACTAATAGGCGAAACTTAACTAAAAGACGAAACTAACCTGAAGCTGAGAGCCCTCATATTTCTGGCTTCGAGAAACAAGTTCAGCGCGCGAATGTTCGCATACATGTAGAATATCCAGTACGAATACGGCGGGTTGCTAGTGCTTGTCCAATCGGAGGGAGCGGGTAGATCTCCACCCTCCATGGTGTACTTGGAGACTCTAGACTCGTCGTCAACGGAGTCAAACCCAACCATCTTTAGCAGTGAATACNGTGCACACGAGCAAAGCATGCATGTCACAGCGCAAAGTATTTCATCAGTCTTTGAAAGAATGGAAGAGCAACCGCAGAAACGGTGGCTGCACCAATAGGCAAAGGCCATTCATCTACGCGGATAAGTAGAAGAACCGACTGTAGTGGGGGAGATATATGTGGCAACAGAAGGCAGGACTCCACTGGAGACACTGAACCGGGACCGGGTCCCAGGAAAGCAAGCACAGGTAACAATGGGTTGACTGTTCACAAGCCTCCGTACTGTTTGCAGGAACCAAAATATCTTCCTATGCTTTGAAGGGTTCTTCACAGCTTCAAACAAAGGCTCGAAGACATTTCTTAGTAATGTTCCAAAGTTGTCTATCTCCCCTCGCTTTCGGTAGACGTGATAGAGCCTGGATTACGTTGAACAGAGCAAATGACACACGAAAAGTGAGGACGGACTGGGAAGTCAAACAATTCTGAAAAGGTTCGAAAAAGAACGAAAAGAAACGAAATGGACATGTAGTGGCAGACACCCACAAAGCCGACGAAGCAGGGAGAAACACAAAAGGAAACTCG